TACCTGCACACCCACCTCAGTGTCTCAAGTTTACTGGGTATAATAGTGTCATCTGGAGAGCATTTTGATTAAACTGTGTTGTTCTCAACATTTCGAGAATTATATGAAATAAACGCATGTTTAGCCACGGCGCGTTTTCCTCAGAGATATTTTCAACTTTTTATAATTTTATAATATGAATTGACATTTTATGGTCTACAAACATCTTCCTACCTATGTGCGTTTTTCCTAGATGAATATTTGTCTTTAAATTTTTTTTTAGTGTTGCACATATGTATATATATATATATATATATATATATATTATATATATATATTGCATGTTGAAAATGCGTTTTTTATAATATATTACAGAATACATGAAAAATATTAGAAAAAAAATATTTTTTAAATATATTCTTCTGATTTTTTTAACCTATAAGAAAGTCATTTTAACATTCAGTATATATATATATATATATATATATATATATATATATATATATATACATATATATACTGCATGTTGAAATGCGTATTTTATATTTATTACAAAATATATAATAATATTTTTAAAAATATATATATATTTAAAATATATTCTTCAGTTTTTTTTAACATATAAGAAAGTCATTTTAACATGCAGTGTGTATACATATATATATAAATATATATATATTGCATGTTGAAGTGCGTATTTTATATATATCACAAAATATATGGAAATATTTTTAAAAATATATATATTTTTACAAAATATATATATATTTTTAAACATATTCTTCAGATTTTTTTAACCTATAAGAAAGTCATTTTAACATGCAGTGTGTGTATATATATATATATATATATATATATATATATATATATACTGCATGTTGAAATGCGTTTTTTATATATATTACAGAATATATGAAAAATATTTAAAAAAAAAAAAAATTTTTAAATATATTCTTCTGATTTTTTTAACCTATAAGAAAGTCATTTTAACATGCAGTGTGTGTGTACATATATATATATATATATATATATATATATATTATATATATATATATATATATATACTGCATGTTGAAATGCGTATTTTATATTTATTACAAAATATATTATAATATTTTTAAAAATGTATATATTTTTAAATATATTCTTCAGATTTTTTTATACATATATAGAAAGTCATTTTATCATGCAGTTATATATATATATTATATATATACATATACATATATATATATATATACATATATATTGCGCATATATATATATATATATATAAATATATTGCGCATATATATATATATATATATATTGCACATATATATATATATATATATATATATATTTTGCATGTTGAAGTGCGTATTTTTATATATATTACAAAATATATGGAAATATTTTTAAAATATATATTTTTACAAATATATATATATTTTTAAACATATTCTTCAGATTTTTTTAACATATAAGAAAGTCATTTGAACATGCAGTGTGTGTATTTATATATATATATATATATATATATATAATATTTATGCTGCATGTTGAAATGCGTTTTTTATATATATTACAGAATATATGAAAAATATTAAAAAAAATATATATATTTTTAAATATATTCTTCAGATTTTTTATTAACATGTAAAAAAGTAATTTTAACATATATTTGTAAATGCATCTTTTCCTGCTTTTGCTGTGGGGGGGGCACCCGACAGGAGGGGGAGGGGCCAGGAACACCAGTGGGGGACCCGAGAAAGTGGCAGGCACTGGATCCCCTTTGCTCAGGGATTCCCTCAGGCAGCTGGGTGAAGAGAAGATTCCATCTGGGGTCCTAGAGAGGGGTCCTGGAGAGGCTGGAGAGGCTGGAGAGCTCTTCCAGAAGTGACTGCTGTCTGAACGACTTGGACATAGCTGCTAAGGAGTTCCTCCTCAGTTCACAGTTCCCTTGGGCTTCCCATGAGTACTGGTTACCAGCTCTATCAAGTGAGAAGAGGGAGTGGCTGAGTTCAGGCAGCACTGCATTGTGGGAACTGTAGTCCAGAGGGGAGGGACCCTCCCCTCAAGAGCCTGTGAACTTCATTTCCCAGACAGAGATTGACAGGAGGAAGGGAAAAAGCTGCATTTTCGCAAGCTGTACAGGACAATGCTTCCTGTGCCGTGACAGAGGCTGGAGAGCGCACCATCGGTGGAGTGTGCAAGCTGTACAGGACAATGCTTCCTGTTGCCATGACGGAGACTGCAATCTGCACCATCACTGCTGCCTATCAAAGAACCGAGCGGGATCCGGAGTGCCGAGTTTGGGGGTGTTGACCGCCAGAGTCACCTGGGTGCAGAGCAGAGAATGGACTAATCACTCTGTGTGACCGGGTGGTGAGCTGCAACATTGCTGGGACTGGTGAGCTGCTGCTGTGGGAATTTACTATCTCCTGCTGGAGAGATTGAGCCTTTTTTTTCGGCAATTACCACACAGCAAGCTAGTATCCTTACTGATGCCTGCAGGTTTGACTGAGACTTTTCTCATGCGCACCAACATTACAACCGGGCCCCAACACTAGCCGGCTGAAGAGTTAGGACTAAAGACTGGCCCTTGACAGCTGCTAACGAGACTTTTATCCATTTTTTAGGCCAGGGGTGGGCAACTGTGGCCCTCCAGCTGTTGTAGAACTACAAGTCCCATGAGGCATTGCAGAACTGACAGTTACAAACATGACTCCCAAAGGCAGAGACATGAGGGGACTTGTAGTTCACCAACATCTGGAGGGCCACAGTTGCCTACCCCTGGTTTAGGCAATGAGTTACCTCTCAGGGGACATTACGCCATATCCTAGCCGATCTTCTAGAGTGGACGCTGGACTAGGTATGGTATTATTTCTCACATAAAAAAAACATTTTATCTCGCCAAGGTCGATCGATCCGATGCTGCAACTGTCCCCAGCCACCTCTATATCAAGAACTGAGCGATCAAAGATAGCCGATCGCTCAATTCTCGGTCTTCAGTGAGCAGTGAGCCGGTGACTGCCAGTCTCTGGCTCTTTGCTCTTTCCTTCCAGCCCTCGCTGGAGCGCCAGGCTGTGCAGAGGGTGGAAACAGCTGGCTCAGGTTCTCAGTGGCTTGTTGAGAGGCTGAGCCAGCTGCTGGTCCCGGCCTCTGGGGGGTGGATCACGACATAAAAGTTGGGACCTCTCAAGAGTCTTGACGTCAGCCAACCACGTAATAAATACAAAAACCCCAGCGGGCTCCATCTTGTATCTGAATGCAGATAAATCCAAGAACCGACTGGGCAAATGAAAGGTGAAAAGTATTTTTAATGATCGACTCATCTGGAAGTATACTAGAAATTAAAGGGCCCACGCTGCGCCACTTCCCCATTCATGCGCATTGATAATATTACGCCTACACACCAAAAAACCGTAGAAACAACAAAGCTACACCGCATGGTACACAATAATTACATGCTCGATGATTCCACACAGGTGTCTGAACTATATATATTGCAAAAAAAAGCATTCTCTGACAGTAAGAACCCGATAGGAGCCTGATTAACGTCACATATCTATGATGGCTTCATGGGGAGTAACTGTGGTAGATGGATGCCGTGGCGTAGTCAAAGTCAAAACATATCTTCCCGGCACTCAACTGTATCATTTACCCATTAGATGTACCTGTTAGGACCTTTTAGATTTTTTTGCTGAAGGTTTGAAAGAGCTTAGAAGTTCAGGGCTGTTTCTTGTAGGCCTCAATTGGCAACAGTGTTGGACTGGCCCTTTAGGGCATCTTCTGATGAACTCTCAGTCCCCACCCCAGAGTAGGTCTGAATGGAGCCCTTTCCACAAGGGCTCTGATCAGACCTCCTCTTCCCTCGTGGAAGAGTTAGGACTTAAACAGTCTGTACAGCTACATGGGAAGACATAGCTATTGCTTGGGTGGGGTAAGTGCCTACAGTGTTTGGGTGGGGCAGAGAGGACAAGAGTCAAGAGTAATTTAATAGAGAAGAGGAGGTCTGAATGGAGACCTTTTGGAAGAGTTAGGAGTTAAACAGTCTGTGCAGCTACATGGGAAGACATAGGTATTGCTTGGGTGGGGTAAGTGCCTACAGTGTTTGGGTGGGGCAGAGAGGACAAGAGTCAAGAGTAATTTGAAGAGAGAAGAGGAGGTCTGAATGGAGCCCTTTTGGAAGAGTTAGGACTTAAACAGTCAGTACAGCTACATGGGAAGACATAGGTATTGCTTGGGCGGGGTAAGTGCCTACAGTGTTTGGGTGGGGTAGAGAGGACAAGAGTCAAGAGTAGTTTGAAGAGAGAAGAGTAGGTCTGATGGAGACCTTTTGGAAGAGATAGGACTTAAAACAGTCTGTACAGCTACATGGGAAGCCATAGGTATAGCTTGGGTGGGGTAAGTGCCTACAGTGTTTGGGTGGGGCAGAGAGGACAAGAGTCAAGAGTAATTTAGATAGAGAAGAGGAGGTCTGAATGGAGACCTTTTGGAAGAGTTAGGAGTTTAAACAGTCTGTGCAGCTACATGGGAAGACATAGGTATTGCTTGGGTGGGGTAAGTGCCTACAATGTTTGGGTGGGGCAGAGAGGACAAGAGTCAAGAGTAATTTAGATAGAGAAGAGGAGGTCTGATCGGGAGCCCTTGTGGGGAGTTAGGTCATCAATAGTTTCTAAGGCCACATGGGTAGCCATGGGTGTAGCTGGGGTGGGGTCTGTGCCTACAGTGTCATGGTAGGGTGGAGTGGGGAGGATTCAAGAGTATTTTGGATAGAGAAGAGAAGATATGATTCGAACCCTTGTGAGAGAGATTGACCCCTTTACAGTTTTGTAAAGCCACACTGGACGCCATAGGTATAGCTCCGTTGTGGTTGGTACCTACAGTGTCAGGGTAGGGTAGGGCAGAGTGGGGTCAAGTCAAGAGTAGTTTGAAGAGGTGGTCTGATCTGAGTTCTTGTGGGAGAGTTAGGGTCTCAGCGGGAGAGTTAGGGTCTCAGTGTTTTGTAAGGCCACATGGGAAACCATAGGTATAGCTTGGATGGGGTTGGTGCCTACAGTGTCAGAGTAGGACAGAGTGAGTAAAAGTCAAGAGTAGTTTGAAGAGGGACGAGGAGGTCTGATCAGAGCCCTTGTGGAAGGGTTAGGCCCTCAACAGTTTGTAAGGCCATATGGGAAGCCGTGGGTGTATCTGGGTTTGGGTAGGTGCCTCCTACAGTGTCAGGGTGAGGTGGAGTTGGTAGGAGTCAACAGTAGTTTGGATAGAGAAGATAAGGTCTGATTGGAGCCCTTGTGGGAGAGTTAGGTGTCCCTCAATAGTTTGTAAAGCCACATTGGAAGTCATAGGTATAGCTCGGGTGTGGTTGGAATGAAGCCATAGGTGTATTTGAGATGGGATCAGTGCCTACAGTGTAAGGGTAGGGCAGAGTGGGGAAGAGTCCCTTGAGTAGTTTGAAGAAAATAATGGAGATCTGATTGGAGCTTCTGGTGTGGGAGAGTTAGTCCCTCAGAATGTTTGTAAGACTATATGGTAAGAATGTCCCTTACAATGGTGGTCAGTGGGAATAATGCCCCCTTACATTGGTGGTCAGTGGGAAGAATGTCCCTTACATTGGTGGTCAGTGGGAAGAATGTCCCTTACATTGGTGATCAGTGGGAAGAATGTCCCTTACATTGGAGGTCAGTGGGAAGAATGTACCTTACATTGGTGATCAGTGGGAAGAATGTCCCTTACATTGGTGATCAGTGGGAAGAATGTCCCTTACATTGGAGGTCAGTGGGAAGAATGTACCTTACATTGGTGATCAGTGGAAGAATGTCCCTTACATTGGAGGTCAGTGGGAAGAATGTCCCTTACATTGGTGATCAGTGGGAAGAATGTCCCTTACATTGGTGATCAGTGGGAAGAATGTCCCTTACATTGGTGATCAGTGAGAAGAATGTTCCTTACATTGGTGATCAGTGGGAAGAATGTCCCTTACATTGGAGGTCAGTGGGAAGAATGTCCCTTACATTGGAGGTCAGTGGGAAGAATGTCCCTTACATTGGTGATCAGTGGAGAAGAATGTCCCTTACATTGGTGATCAGTGAGAAGAATGTTCCTTACATTGGTGATCAGTGGGAAGAATGCTCCTTACATTGGGGTCAGTGGGAAGAATGTCCCTTACATTGGAGGTCAGTGGGAAGAATGTCCCTTACATTGGAGGTCAGTGGGAAGAATGTACCTTACATTGGAGGATCAGTGGGAAGAATGTCCCTTACATTGGAGGTCAGTGGGAAGAATGTCCCTTACATTGGAGGTCAGTGGGAAGAATGTCCCTTACATTGGAGGTCAGTGGGAAGAATGTACCTTACATTGGAGGTCAGTGGGAAGAATGTACCTTACATTGGTGGTCAGTGGGAAGAATGTCCCTTACATTGGGGGTCAGTGGGAAGAATGTCCCTTACATTGGTGATCAGTGGGAAGAATGTCCCTTACATTGGGGGTCAGTGGGAAGAATGTCCCTTACATTGGGGGTCAGTGGGAAGAATGTCCCTTACATTGGTGGTCAGTGGGAAGAATGTCCCTTACATTGGTGATCAGTGGGAAGAATGTCCCTTACATTGGGGATCAGTGGGAAGAATGCTCCTTACATTGGTGGCCAGTGGGAAGAATGTCCCTTACATTGGGGGTCAGTGGGAAGAATGTCCCTTACATTGGTGGTCAGTGGGAAGAATGTACCTTACATTGGGGTCAGTGGGAAGAATGTCCCTTACATTGGAGGTCAGTGGGAGGAATGTCCCTTACATTGGTGATCAGTGGAAGAATGTCCCTTACATTGGGGGTCAGTGGGAAGAATGTCCCTTACATTGGTGGTCAGTGGGAGGAATGTCCCTTACATTGGGGTCAGTGGGAAGAATGTCCCTTACATTGGGGGTCAGTGGGAAGAATGCCCCTTACATTGGGGTCAGTGGGGAGAATTCCACCCTTTGTATTTCTGATTCAGCATGGTGTTGTACTGGTTAAAGCTGTTTACAATGTCTTTTGCTAGCAGGGTGCCCAGGGGCTAATGAAGGGTCAACTGTTTTCGGGACTCCCGGTAAGTCATAACTCTGCCCCCTTTGGCTGGGCTATTAACTCAAGGGGAGGCGACTGTTGAGGGTCCTTGCATGGGAAAGTTTATGTAGGGATCAGGGGCGGACTGACCATTTGGATACTCAGGCACTGCCCGAGGGTCCGGGGTCAGTAGGGGGCCCCATGAGATGCCCCTGGTACCTTTTTCATAGGCTTTTTTGAGTTTGGGCAAGGACACAGGGGCCCCATGATCCCCTATTGCCCGGGTGCCCCATGAGTTGTCAGTCCGCCCCTGGTAGGGATGCAGAAAGATGTAACGTTGTTCTGTGGCCTCCCTTTTGTGGGCACCCAGTCGGGAACCAGAAGTGAAGACTCTGGCTTTACACTAAGCTCCGAGTTGAGCGGCCTGACTTAGGAGGATTCGGTACCGGGAGACCGTTCTGTTTGACTGTAAATCTGCACAACTTTTCGAGAGGATGCCTGGTCTGACGTTCTCAAGAAAAGGGGTGCGTGCAAGTCGAAGAAAAGAGCACGGCTTATATTGGGGATGAAGAGGGGTTCAGGAAGAAACTAACATGCGGTGAAGTCTTAGAAAGTAAAGGCTACACTGCTATTGGCATGAGTAACCGGAGAAGAGACGGGTCCTAACTCATCTAGCCAGTAGACCTCTCCACAGGTAACCTCAGGGGAAATACAGGCTGCTCTGGAAAAAGACGGTGCGGTTGTTTCAAGGATCACATTATGATACTTGAACAAAAATGAGCTGCATGGTCGAGTTACAAAGAAAAACCCCCACAGGTAACCTCAGGAGAAATACAGGCTGCTCTGGAAAAAGACGGTGCGGTTGTTTCAAGGATCACATTATGATGATACTTGAACAAAAATGAGCTGCATGGTCGAGTTACAAAGAAAAACCCCACGGGTAACCTCAGGAGAAATACAGGCTGCTCTGGAAAAAGACGGTGCGGTTGTTTCAAGGAGCACATTATGATGATACTTGAACAAAAATGAGCTGCATGGTCGAGTTACAAAGAAAACCCCCACAGGTAACCTCAGGAGAAATACAGGCTGCTCTGGAAAATTACAGTGCGGTTGTTTCAAGGAGCACAATACGATAATTGAACAAAAATGAGCTGCATGGTCGAGTTACAAAGAAAAACCCCCACAGGTAACCTCAGGAGAAATACAGGCTGCTCTGGAAAAGGACAGTGTGGTTGTTTCAAGGAGCACATTATGATGATACTTGAACAAAAATGAGCTGCATGGTCGAGTTACAAAGAAAACCCCCACAGGTAACCTCAGGAGAAATACAGGCTGCTCTGGAAAAATACGGTGCGGTTGTTCCAAGGAGCACAATACGATAATTGAACAAAAATGAACTGCATGGTCGAGTTACAAAGAAAAACCCCCACAGGTAACCTCAGGAGAAATACAGGCTGCTCTGGAAAAAGACGGTGCGGTTGTTTCAAGGAGCACATTATGATGATACTTGAACAAAAATGAGCTGCATGGTCGAGTTACAAAGAAAAACCCCACGGGTGACCTCAGGAGAAATACAGGCTGCTCTGGAAAAGGACGGTGTGGTTGTTTCAAGGAGCACAATATGACGATACTTGAACAAAAATGAGCTGCATGGTCGAGTTACAAAGAAAAACCCCAAAGGTAACCTCAGGAGAAATATAGGATGCTCTGGAAAAAGACGGTGCGGTTGTTTCAAGGAGCACATTATGATGATACTTGAACAAAAATGAGCTGCATGGTCGAGTTACAAAGAAAACCCCCACAGGTAACCTCAGGAGAAATACAGGCTGCTCTGGAAAAAGACGGTGCGGTTGTTTCAAGGAGCACATTATGATGATACTTGAACAAAAATGAGCTGCATGGTCGAGTTACAAAAAGAAAACCCCCACAGGTAACCTCAGGAGAAATACAGGCTGCTCTGGAAAAGGACAGTGTGGTTGTTTCAAGGAGCACAATACGATACTTGAACAAAAATGAGCTGCATGGCCGAGTTGCCAGAAAGAAGCCTCTACTGCACCAATGCCACAAGAAAGCCCGGTTACAATATGCCCGACATCACCTTGACACACCTCACTGGGATTATTTTGTTGCATCAAATTAAATGGCTTCCTATGACCACTATCCTTCCATAAAAGTCGAACGTTTTTCGGCATGATCAGTCATATTTTCAATATCAATACCAAATTTTCGACATTTCTTCCAGGGGGTGCAAACTTTCTGAGGACAACTATATCTAGCCTGGATGTCATTGGAGAAAAAGAGAGGATCCTGAGCAGTATAGAAACTGGGGTATGGAGTTCGTTGTTCTGCATGCTTCGAAGGGAGGAGTACCGCCTCAATGCTGAATTCACATGGCCGCGATCTCCGCCTGCTTGTCCAGGCATTAGCGAGCGTAGTTCACAGTGTCCCCGATCGGGAGCGTTAAACCCCGCCCACACCCTTGCTGGAACTATGCCGGCATCATCACATGGAAGGTCAATCAGCCACAAGGAACCCCCTAACAACGTCTGGAGGAGCCCCACGGTTCAGAGGAGAATGGCTGGCACAAGTCTAGTCGCTGCATACAAGGGTGGCTCCATAGGATGCTGCAGGAGAAAGGAGCCACCCTGATATGGGAAGCCTGGGGCAGCGGTCATGGAACAGAGACAAGGAACAAAAGATAAGGAAGCTGCACTGATCAAATCTGCTGCCGAAAATGCTTAGAAAATAAAGGTTTACAATCATTTTAGGCTTTTTTATGATATAGAGCAGGGGTCTTCAAACTGCGGCCCTGGGGCCGGATGTGGCCCTTTGCCTGCCTTTATCTGGCCCTTGAGGTACTGTTCCTCCCAATTATACGACACACTATTCTGCCAACTGATACCAACAATGGGGTACCATTTCTCTTATTAACACCAATGATGGGGCACTATTCCTCCCACTGACACCAATGATGGGGCACTATTCCTCCCAATGACACCAATGATGGGGATCATTCCTCCCACTGACACCAATGATGGGGCACTATTCCTCCCACTGACACCAATGATGGGGCACTATTCCTCCCACTGACACCAATGATGGGACACTATTCCTCCCACTGATACCAATGATGGGGCACTATTCCTCCCACTGACACCAATGATGGGGCACTATTCCTCCCACTGATACCAATGACGGGGCACTATTCCTCCCACTGACACCAATGATGGGGCACTATTCCTCCCACTGATACCAATGATGGGGCACTATTCCTCCCACTGACACCAATGATGGGACACTATTCCTCCCACTGACACCAATGATGGGACACTATTCCTCCCACTGACACCAATGATGGGGATCATTCCTCCCACTGATACCAATGATGGGACACTATTCCTCCCACTGACACCAATGATGGGACACTATTCCTCCCACTGACACCAATGATGGGACACTATTCCTCCCAATGACACCAATGATGGGGCACTATTCCTCCCACTGATACCAATGATGGGGCACTATTCCTCCCACTGACACCAATGATGGGGCACTATTCCTCCCAATGACACCAATGATGGGGCACTATTCCTCCCAATGACACCAATGATGGGGCACTATTCCTCCCAATGACACCAATGATGGGACACTATTCCTCCCACTGACACCAATGATGGGACACTATTCCTCCCACTGACACCAATGATGGGGCACTATTCCTCCCACTGATATAAATGATGGGGCACTATTCCTCCCAATGACACCAATGATGAGGCACTATTCCTCCCACT